CAGGGTCACAGGGGAGAAACAAAAAAGACCGGGATTACAATCCACACCAATACACAACGTCCACCCCCCTCCACCAATGCTAGTGGTGAGCTGTTTGACTGCAGAGGGCACCACAACTCTATCACGTGCCAGGGACTGAGGCTGATCTCCTCTCAGGCTTGAAGACTAGGTCCTACCCCCAATCCCCAACGCTACCAACGTCCTGAACCTTGCGCCTCTCTAGCACCAGCCCACAGGAGATTCGAAGTGCTGCCACCAACATAGCACAGCTGGGGAAGGACGTACCTCAGGAGAGGTGTACTGAATTGTTTAGGGGCAGGGGCTACTTCTTATGAACAGTGCAGCTTTGCCTGGAAGAGTCTGCAATTAAACAGGGGGGCTGGTCTACCAATCTTTGAAGGCGACAGGACTGACAAAGTCTGGTCAGCCAGACATACGTCTGCTTGGCCTTCATAAAGAGGCACTGAGTGCAAGACAAAGTGGAAACTGCATCCTTAAGTGACCCTTGGTGTTGGGAGCATATAAGTAGCCAACTTAGCGCAACATAGCAATTGAGAACGTGACTTGGAGTAGACGGCTGGAGTCGAGCAGAGGAAGGGAAGAGGTCTGTGATCGTTTTCACCGAAACAATGCAACTGAGTGGCAAGTCTGATTTCGGGACATTCTCGTCTTTACAGGAAAAGTAAGGTGTTTAGTTTCTCTTTCTGCACACATTTCTTTCTCTTGTTGCACCTCATGAGTTTAGTAGTTTTTGTTCCCCTAAAACTACAATCAGGATAAAGAGCAGGGGATACTAGATTGCTTAAATAAGATAGTGGTGGCAGAATGGGCAATGTGTTGCTGCTGCAATGTGTGGGAGCTGCTGGACACCAAGGTGATCCGGAGCGAACTGTAGTATTTGCCCCCCTCAGGCCGGGCAATTCAAATTTGGGTCTGCGATCGGGGACAGGACAGCGCGACTGCGGACGAGACAGGAACCGGGGCTGTAAGTGAGGAGCCGGAGAAGTGGCGAGGTTCTGGGAAGCAGTGGGGATGAGGGAACTAAGCGGGCACTATGGTATAAGGAGCCATTCGAGGTGGGGGCAAAGGAAATAGGAACGCAGCAGTGATGGAGAATGGATAGATCCTGTTCTCCTCAGGGCATGAGTGGGATTCCAGAATGCTGCGTTGCCTCGAGAAGAACTTGGAGTGGCAGGGGCAGGACCCAAATGTTAAAGTCCATGTTGGCAGCAACAACTCTAGGGCAGAACCTCCTTTTTTGGACCCAGCAAAGATTTGGAGCAGTGGGGAGCTAAATTCAAAAATAAATCCAAAAGCAAAAGTTTCTGGGTGACCACCTCAGCCACACGCCAACTGGCACAGGGTAACTGAAGGGAAGGAGCGAAACGCATGGCTCAGGGATGGGCACTGATGGATTGGGTTCCCGCTCATGGGGGGGGGCGCGGTGCGGCCACTATGGGGGTAGCAGGCAGCTGTTCGGCTACAACGGGCTTCACTTGTACCATGCTGGAACTGGTGCCCCGCCGAATGGTATAGAATCATAGTATTTTATAGTAGAGAAAGGGGCCATTCAACCCATCATTTCTGTACTCACAGATGTGCCACGGCGACTACCTGTAACACAGTTAGGACCCTTCCTCTACGTCACTGCCGAGGACACTGCATGGGTCCATGACTCCACGTGACCGAGCTGAGCTACCGTAGCTGAAAATGATTTCCCCCAAATACCTACCCTCCCGTGCATGGATTTAACTAATAAAGGATAAGTAGGTATACGTTTGCTAATGGTTTCTGGCTGGAGGGAGCTAGCGCAGTGCAGAGCGGCCTACCCTCACGTCCCAGCCTGAGCCTCGCTGCTCTCCCAGGGACACACAGCCCCACTTACCCAGGCAAGCAAGGTCTCTCGCTCCGCCACGTGGTAGATGAGCTTCAGGGGCCGCGTGGAGCTGTGGATCTTGCTGTGTAAATACTGGTACAGGTCAAACAGGTGCTCCTTCTCCTGCTCTGTCGTGTACGGAGCCTCAATCTCGGGGCTGACCCACCAAAGGCCCAGGAAAAGAAAAGAAGGCAGAGAGGATTATTGGGCAGAATTTACGATAAATTACGGACCATTCATCCCCTTGTGCCGAGGCCAGGGCCAGGATTTACTGCAACATCCTCCGCTCATTCCCCGAGCTCCCCTGCAAACTTACCCCCTCATGTATTTCTCAGAGTCGCTTCCTTCCAAAAGCTCCGACATAATCTGCTTCCACCTCCCGCCACCCCTTTCAGGCAGCACGGCCCACATCGTAACTCAAACATCAATTGCTGCTCCTCTGGTTCTCTATCCCATTCCCCCCTCTGGTTCTCTACCCCGTCTCCCCCTCTATCCCATTCCCCCCTCTGGTTCTCTACCCCGTCTCCCCCTCTATCCCATTCCCCCCTCTGGTTCTCTACCCCGTCTCCCCCTCTATCCCATTCCCCCCTCTGGTTCTCTACCCCGTCTCCCCCTCTATCCCATTCCCCCCTCTGGTTCTCTACCCCGTCTCCCCCTCTATCCCATTCCCCCCTCTGGTTCTCTACCCCGTCTCCCCCTCTA